AATTTAGCGAGTGTTTAATTTTATGTAGTTATTAGAATTAAAGCTTAAAATAATGCACTCTTACTTGATTTAAAGATTTCTGATGGTTTGTTTATATTCAAATTGAATTTATTTATTTTCAAAGCTTAAAATAATGCATTTTTACTTGAATTGTGGATTCCTGGTGGTTGCCTATATTCAAACTGTATTTATTTTCAAAGCTTAAAATAATGCATTCTAACTTGATTCGTAGATCTCTGATAGTTTATTTTCAAATTAAATTTGTTTATTTTCAAAGCTTAAAATAATGCATTCTAACTTGATTCGTAGGTCCCTGATAGTTTATTTTCAAACTGAATTTTTTTATTTTCAAAGCTTAAAATAATGCATTCTAACTTGATTCATAGGTCCCTGATAGTTTATTTTCAAACTGAATTTTTTTATTTTCAAAGCTTAAAATAATGCATTCTAACTTGATTCGTAGGTCCCTGATAGTTTATTTTCAAACTAAATTTGTTTATTTTCAAAGCTTAAAATAATGCAGTCTAACTTGACTCGTAGGTCCCTGATAATTTATTTTCAAATTAAATTTGCTTATTTTCAAAGCTTAAAATAATGCATTCTAACTTGACTCGTAGATCCCTGATAGTTTATTTTCAAACTAAATTTGTTTATTTTAAAAGCTTAAAATAATGCATTCTAACTTGATTCGTAGGTCCCTGATAGTTTATTTTCAAACTAAATTTGTTTATTTTCAAAGCTTAAAATAATGCATTGTAACTTGATTCGTAGGTCCCTGATAGTTTATTTTCAAACTAAATTTGTTTATTTTCAAAGCTTAAAATAATGCATTCTAACTTGACTCGTAGGTCCCTGATAGTTTATTTTCAAACTAAATTTGTTTATTTTAAAAGCTTAAAATAATGCATTCTAACTTGATTCGTAGGTCCCTGATAGTTTATTTTCAAATTAAATTTGCTTATTTTCAAAGCTTAAAATAATGCATTCTAGCTTGATACGTAGGTCCCCGATAGTTTGTTTTCAAACTAAATTTGTTTATTTTGAAAGCTTAAAATAATGCATTCTTACTTGATTTGTAGGTTCCTGATGGTTTGTTTATTTTCAAACTTAACAAGACAATATCCGATATAATGGGATGTGCTGTCTCAAATTTTCGAAAAGATAAGAAACATGAACGGCGATTGCTTCGGGCAATGAGTCCAACAGAAAAAAGTAAGAATACGGTCTTTGAAAAGTGGTTGTAAGATTTATTTTTTAAAGTATTGATTAATTATTATTTTTTCAATCTAAGAACCTATGCCTTTATCTTACGTAACACTTATTTTGATACTGCATGAAGTAATTTAGTGTACTGTGTTACTAAATGAATAATTCCAAGAAACTGAATCGAAAAGATTAAAACCTCATTGATTTAAAAAATAATAGATGATAATAAAAGTAGACATGTTTTGAGTGTTCAATAATGACGTCACAAGTTTTTTTCGCCAGGCAAATCTTGAGAATGGGCGCCTAATTTTGAAAACTAGAAACATGTCGACTTTTATTTCCCTTTTTATGCTTTTTGCATCCAATGATCTTTTCATAATCAACTATACTGTTTTACATTTGGGTCTTGATTATAGTTTTTATACGGATTTTATGCTCGTAAAAGTAAACAGATGCATTTTGATATTCTAACAGGATTCGTGTGGTCCTTAAAAAAGTAAAAGAACCGTAGCATCAATATTGTAACTATGAAGTTATCTTTAACTTTAAAATTAAAATTTTGAGACCAGATATTTTGAGTTAATGAAATTAAATATTTTATCTTTCAAGTATTTGTGCCACCTTTTCAATATCTTAAGGACCTTACGAACTCAGTTTAAAAGAAGAGTATCGTATCAAATATATGTAAATAAATAAAGAAATCATAGTAGCGGTATTTGCTGATAAATGTAGCTTATCGTAATTAAGGAACATGTTGCGCGACAATGTATGGTGAATTTGCGAAAATAAATTTCAGAATATATCGAAACATCAGGATGCCATTTGCAAATCATTTTTATCCAAGGAAAGCCACGTAACCTAAATATTTGGCAGAATGAAGAGATTTTTTAAACAACGAATCATACAATATATGCAACATATTGTTTCAGTACGTTATTCTTAACCATAACATATTTCAAAGTTTCTAAAATGCCATTTAACATTCAGGATTTTTTTTAGTAATTAAAAAAAAAAATATCGTAAATTATGTAAAATCTTGTGAATGTGCATTAGAATTACTATACAATCTACATTTTTCAGGCACTTTTTTTGTTTCTTTTAAACTTCCTTGTCAAGAGGACTCGATCAAAACTGCAAAAATGATTATACCTAAAAATTTTTACATAATTATATTAAGTCATGTACTCTTGATTTTGGTAAGAAATTCTCGTATAAATGAAGTAAAAGCAACGTAAAAAAACCCAAATAACGTCAGATGAAAAGTACGTGCATTCTAACTCTAAAAACTTAGAAAATCATAGATAATTTATAAATTGATTCAACCTTTCTTTTAAAAGGAAATTTAAAAAAAAATCTTTGCTATTTGGTCAGAAATTAGCTGAAAAATTGTCCATTGCCTAGAAACTTCAAGATATTTTCTATTAAGCATTCATAAATAAACCCAGGGCTAAAGAGAATACAAGGGCTAGTTCATTCCNGCAAATGTGGAGATGAGGGAACACCCTCTCTAACAAATAAACTCCCCGAGCAATCGTAGAATATTATTTAATTTTTTTTATTGTCTGAACTTGGTTGTTTAGCAACGGAGTGAAATTGGTATTCCTCTCTTGAATTAGTCTTTGGGTTATCTTAAAATATTCATTTGCGGCGGAATTTTTTGACTACTGCATGCAGAATTTAACGCGATTTTATCGTCGGAAAAATTTACGGCCAATCAAAACTATGAGCATTTTAGAGTTGAATAAATCTCCACAATTTTAATTTAAACTCCATTGGATGATATTACAATCACGAGTCGTTTTCTAATAGCTAAAAAAAGAGCTTATCGCCATTGATTTGACCACCACTGATTTTAAAGATACAAAATTGAGGAATTAGTTTTTAAATCGAAGCTATATATTCACACAAACAGATGTTTGTTTGAGACACTCTGTGGTGTACGGGTATCAAGATAGGATTTCTTCTTGCTTGCACCCTGGAAAAGTGAAAATTTTAGCTGTAAGCTTGCATTCGGAAGGAATCGATGTAAGTTTATCTAATCCACAGTAAATAGCTGTCACCAATCATAATCTCTCTAGTTGGTACGTAATGATTTTTAATTATTTTTGGTAGCTACTTTAGTCCACCCGAAATAAAGCTATATATAAAATAGTTTAACTAACAACTTTTATTATTTTCAGGTGTAGAAACACATCCGTTAATTGGTTAATCGTACCAACTTTCACTGCATAACTATCAGGCTTAAGATGAATGTTAAAATTCTTTATGTGTGCTAATGGTCAAAATAATTTTTATCGTGTAAATCAAATGTATTAAATCTAAAATAAAAGAGGCAATAAATTTATTACCACACTAAATATTCAAGAGAAATATACCGATGAAACTGGAAGAGTTGGCATATTTGGTTCTTTTACATAATTTTTATTATGTGAAATCTGAAGATCATATTTAAATCTAGAGCTTAAAAATATTAAGAGTTTCCCTTTAAGAGCATATTGAAATCTTTTATTCATGAATTGCGCACAGAACTATCAAAATAATACGAAAAAAAAGAGTCAAAATGTCTTTATTAAAAATAAAACATAGCTATTTTTGGCCCTATTAAGTCTTTTTATAGATATCAATTCCCTTCCGCTGCCATGTTGTTTCCTACATCTTCGATCACGACATGAAAATGTTACACAGAGATCATAAAAACTATTGAGGGAATAGCCAAGTATTTTTTATCGATATCTTTAGATATTTCTTTCGTAAAAATCTTATTAAAAATTAATTTCGGTAAGACTAAACGTGAAAGAGTGCAGTTATAGAAATACTTTTATTGTACGGATATAAATCCGATAATTTTATTAGATTTTTTGATGAATTATTTTATGTAGGGAAAATAAAATGGAGCTAACTTAAATTATTTCAAATACGTGTTCTTGTTTCTAGTTAATGATACAAAAAATTTAATAAAGCGTTAGAGGTAATAAAAACTAAAACTTGCAAATTATTTTCGCCTACTGGCAAGTAAGGTGTTTCAAAATTTCTCTTGAGATCCTCGTAATTTATGCATGATTTGGGATATGAAATGAAACAAATGGTTATTCACTTAATATGAACATCCGCTTTTTAGTATCACTTCAATATCTATCAGTCCTCATTTTACAGAAATGCAAAAGTTTCTTTTACAAAAAGAGTAGTTGGGTATTTGGGTTTTTTAACCTTTAACTCAATGGTTCCAGATAAAAGAGACACAGCACATGCAGCGTAAAAGAGCCTGTGCATATATATTCAAACTAGCAAGTATCAGACCGATCTAATCCGTGAGTCTGCTGTATACATTTAAAGTTAAATCAGTTTTTTTATAAAGGCACCTTTTGCATTATTGCATAATAGTGATTTCACTTCATATCCAAATAATATAATATTAATGTATTATGGAAGACGAAATTTTATGAGAAATTAAATATTGATAATAAAACTTTTAGGCTACCACTTTTTCCTTTTTGAAAAAGATAGCACTTCTTTTTAAAAGAATGCTTGGCACAGATTTACAAACTCTGATTAGACATTATGCTTACTAATAATAATTTAAAAAATATATTTTAGTAATTTTTTCATTGCTAGTTCACGAAGTGTTGAAAAATCTCTGATGAGAAGGGTATTGATTCATATATTGACTTACCATCACGAGAAAACTTCTCTTAAACTTGAACTAAGGTTAATTACGGAGTACCTGTCCATGTAGTGAGTGGACATATCACTCTTTTGTAGAAGATAGGCGGCGATACCTTCGGGCGATTGAGTGAATGACAGTAAATGCAGATCAGTGTGAAAGAAGTAGCGGAAGTGGTAGCGAACATCAAGTTTATACTTATAGTCCTACTTCTAACTGGGGTAAGGTATAAATATAAGGGTCGGAATACTTGGGGATCATCATTGGTTATTTCCCCTCTCTAGGAGTATCCCTAGTTAAATTGGAGGGAGAGTTATTTATAATAGCTGGAGAGAGAGAGCCGTAGGGGCTTGCCTTCCAATGGGGTGAACCGGGTTCGAATCCCATCGATGACTGGTCGATTCGAATTCCGTACACGGCTTGCATCAACCACAGTACTGACGTTAAATATCTTCTGTGGTAGACGGATCATGAATTAGAGTCCCCTTGCCATCAGGCTAATCAGAGGTTTTAAGGATTTTCCTCGCCTTGTAAAGCAAATGCTGGTTAGTTCCATCAAGAAGTCCACCACGAAGGCAAATTTCTCCCAATACTTGTACCAGGAGTTCTCTTGTTTTCTTCATTGGGTTCTAAATTACAAGGCTACAGAGTTGAACATTAGGTGTTGCAAACTGCATTATCTGAGAGGAGGAAGGATGTGATAGGGTATAATCTCTCATGTCGATAATTAACTCTCTATTAAGGATGTTATTGAAACCAGCAGGGTCGGTTTCTTTTGAATTACTATAAAGAGCAGCACTGAGTTTATTTCTGTAGTTGCTAATAATATCTATTTTTAGGTAATTTCTTATGGCTCTGTTTAGGAGGTAATATTGTGTGCTAGTTATTCATCTGAGTAATTTATTTTGCACTATTTCCAGCTTTGTCATCTGAGTTTGTTTTAAGCACCCCCAGAGAAAACTTCTCAATACTGACGAAAACTTATTAATCGATATATTTCATAGATGTCTTGTCAATCACGGACTTTCACACTTCCCGAAAACATGCTAAAAATGAAATGGTTTTACTTCTCGATTTCAGACGAGGCTCTGGACGAGAAATCCGTATTTACCATGACATGAAAATTAATTAATTTTATTATTGTAGTTTGTCACAGTGGTTACAGTATTTTTTCTCCTCCTGAAAATTTTCCAGAAATGATATGACAGTTACGCATGAGAGTTTTTCACGTGACGGTTAGTTAATACCGATTTATGCTGAAGATAACACATCTTAATTTATTTGTGTTTTATTTGATCCAAGCACAGTGCTTTTTCAAAGCCTTGTTGAAAAATTGATATTTTTCAACAAAGCATTTTTACATCATATCATTACAATATTCTGGGATAATATAGATAGTCCACATAGACTCCAACTTGATCCCTGATGGTCATTCATTACCTTATAGCTACCAATTTAATGCCAGATAGCACCGTTACCAGATTGCAACAAAAATACGACAGTCACGGAGACTCATTTGTGAGGTCACATATGAGCTCTTCGTCGTCGATGCGTGGGTTTTTGAAGGTTACTATATCCGCCTTTGAGGACGTCACATTCTGACGTCATTCAGACATCAACACGAAACCACAATGAGACATATAACTTCTGGAGTGACGTCAGCGTGTGGCAAAGAATGTGACACATTCAAGTCGTAGCTTAGTCGCATGGTGACCCTAGTTAGACGTAAACGTCTCGATTTCGTCACATTGTCTCTGTTGAGACTGAATAACTCACATCTTCGTCATATGGTGACCCAATTGAGACGTAAACGTCCCGATTTCGTCAAACCGGGACCATGCTGAGACGTTAATAGATCACACCGTCGTCAAATGGTGAAGTCATTGCGACGAGAAAGCTACTAAATGCTTCAAAATCTACTTAAATAAGATACCTACTGATCAAAATTTTGCGCATAATGATCATGAGAGTACAATTTGATTCAACACGAGCTGGTCAGTTCGGCAAAACCCATAAGCTTGATTTGGATGAGGTGCCCGATATAAAATTATTATGTAATAATATATATGCTTACTTAATTTTTTCAGTTGTGGTCAAAATTATTTCAAATTAAATGTATAAGGCAAATAATTAAATCAAGGAACTTAAATTTTGTCACCACTTCATATGTAAAATTAGAACAATAATGTTTCAAAATTTGTCATAGATTTTAATGATGCAATATTGATTAAAAANTTGATCACCACTATTCTTACAAAAATTAAGCACATATATTAATATGCGTTACTATCATGGTTGTGAACTAAAATTTTTTCAAATGTAACGTATTTGTTTGCTTAAAATTGAAGTTTTAATTCCATTTTAATACCACTGGGGAAAATGATAATGGAAGGGATTAAAAGTTGGCAGGTATGGTATAAGGCAAATAATTAAATCAAGAAACTTAAATTTTGTCACCACTTCATATGTAAAATTAGAACAATAATGTTTCAAAATTTGTCATAGATTTTAATGCTGCAATATTGATTCAAAAATGGTATAGACGATATTTGGCAAGGGAGGAAGCAAGAAGACGGTGTTCATGGAAAATATTTCAAAGCTTAGAATACGTTGGAGAACAGGATCAGACAAAGGTAAATTAAAGTAGTATTAAATGTTTGTATGAATGCTCCAACTTCTATCAGGGTTCGTACAGTCATTATTAAATTTGTAGCAAAAAAAAAATTAGTGTTTTAATGAATTTGAATTCGCCAAGACCTTTAATATATCCAAATAAGTATATGTAGTAAGTGAATGAATCTTTTATTTTCAAATGTAGGCTAATAAAGAGAAGTTCGTAGCGTAGCTTTTTGATTACAATATTACCCCTACTTTTTAAATTTTTTAAGGATTGTATATGAACTCTGATTCTATGGTTTTTGGTCTCAGACTTTTGTAATGGTACTGCACAGCTGCCAACCTTTCCTGCTGCTAATTGGAGAATTTTATTAAATATTTAATGTTAAGCAATATTTATGCTTTTACGCTTGATCTCTTGTTTATTATGTTTTATTTAAAATTATTTTGAGCACCACTAAAAACAAATAAATGAAAGATGTACCTAACAAATCTAATCTTACTGCTGTATTATTTTTAAGTGAAGACTTCATATTTAACAACTAATATTATACATACAGATAAAACTTTGTCAAAAATATTCCAAAAAACATCTTTGTGAATTGAAGAAGTGGCTGATAATTTTGTGAAAGCCATCACAAACGATCGGCTATAATTTATTATTATAGTTACAAACCATTGGGAGCGATTTTTCAAAACCAAGTATAGATTTCAATCATAGCTGCCAACTATTTTTGCTAACGATATTTCATAGTAGTAGTTAAAAAAAAAAGCCTTATTAGCAGTTTCATACATTTTGTCATACCTTCATACTTATATGGCATAATTTTTAGGGTTTTTATATAGGTTTTTTAAATTCTTCATTACAATTTTATTAAAATAAATTAAATCAAATATTCATTCCATATTGAAATATAAAATTGGCTACTACTAGAAAATATTGTTCGGAAAAGTCGTTAGCAAGTATGGTATTTTGGTAGATACAACTGCTTCGCTTAAGCAAGATAAATACTAACAATTAAATAATTAAATTATCAGTCTTTAATATTTTGGGCAGAAAATTAATATTTTGACGTTTAAACGATAAGGAACTTAAAAATTGCGACCTAGCAATTAGACTTTTTTCAAAGGTTACAAAAAGGGTCTGGATAGCCTGGTTGGTAGAGCACTGGACCCATGTCCAAGAGTTCGTGGGTTTGATCCCCACCGGCCGAAGATCCCTGTGCAGTAAATGGTGACTAATGCACGTTAAATCTGTCGAGTTGCAAAAGTCCTCCATGTTCCCGTAACAAATCAATACCTCTGGGGGTACTCATCTAGGTGCTTCCTTGTCTTCTGGATTGGTTCAAAATTACAAGGCTACGGAGTTCAACATTAGTAGTAGTAAACCCAAAATCAGGTTGGTTGTTCAACGACGGATATAAAAAGGTTACAAAAGAGCCGTGATGACTCAGAAAATAGGGCTTTTGCCTTCCAATGCGGTGAAATGGGCTTGAATCCCAGCGATGGCTGGTCGACACAAATCCGCATCCAGCTTACACGACCACACTGCTGACGTGAAATATCTTCAGTGGTAGACGGATCACGGATTAGAGTCCCTTTGCCGTCAGGCTAACCGTGGAATGTTCTCACGGTCTTCCTCTGCATGTAACGCAAATGCGGGTTAGTTCCATCAAAAAATCCTCCACGAAGGCAAATTTCTCCTGTTACTTGATCCAAGAGCTCCCTTGTCTTCTGGATTGGGTTCAAATTTACAAGGCTACGGAGTAGAACTGGGTCGGCTGTTCAACGATGGTTATAAAATTTTCAAAAATCTTGAAAATATGATGTGAATTTTGTGGTGGCCTATTAAAAAAAGTGAAATTATTTTATTAATTTTTGTATGGATTTATTTTTCCCGAGTGCTTAACCCTTTGGGGACGGGTGATTCAGAAAAGCATTCGTACAAAATCAGAATCAAGTTGTAATTAAATAAAAAACGGTAACTTAAATGTAGTCGTTGCTAATTTGACAGACTTACTTTGCTTTTAATTTAATTATTGTTAGTTTAAACATATATATAATCATTGTTAATTCAAAGTATAACTAAATAGTTTTATTTTGAACAAAGGATTGGTGAATTAAATAAATCAAACAATTATTACTCCGCCCACAAATAAACTGACAAAGAAATACTTTGATTACCAGTTTTATATTTTTAACCTGATTGATACGGTTTTATGCTGTCACGTATTTGTGACAGTCGGCCCGAAAGGGTTAAATAAAACATAACTGCCTACCATAAGTAATATTAAGCTACAAATTTTGTAATAAAGAGGAATTAGTATAATTTAAGAGGTATCTAACAAAAGAAAATAGTAAATTAATTCACACATTAATCAAATCACTCACTTACACATCATTGCAATTGAAAACTAAACCTTTCAATTTAAAATGGCTTTTCTGGATTATTTTCTGTTTTTTGATCAGTTATTCAAGTGATATAAAATTACAAGTTTTATTAAAATGCTTTGTTACTTTTTAGCTCTACAACTTTTTCAACGACCTTATCACACACCTTTTCAAAGTCAATCCTGATATTGCATCATCAGTGACATATAATAATCCATACTTTTTTAGAGGTAAGTAACTAATTTAGATAAAACTAATCTATGATCTACGTTACGACGGCTGGTCTCAGAAATATGATTGTATTAGCAAACCGTTCTTATTAATCTAGGATTGTTAATTTTTGAAAACTCAGTAAAAACAATATATTTTTAAATTTATTTAAATCGAGGTAAACTATCTGTGATTATTACCAGTTACTACCAGTTAAAAATATATTTTTACTCTTAAGAAAGAGCACCAACTTAACGATTTTTGCTAAAATTTTTCACAGTGGTAGCTCAAAAGTAGCGTAAAAGCATTAAAGTTATATGCACTTTTTTACACTTTGGCACGGTTGTACCTATGCATACCTGCCAATTTTTAATCCTTTCGAGTATGATTTTCCCCTGTGATAGTAAAATGGAATTCAAATTACAATTTTAGGCAGAAACATATGCTGTATTTTGAAGAAGTTTACTTACCACAAGGAAGGATTGAAGGACTACCACAACTCATACTCATACTCATATGTGTTGGTTATCTTAGCGTCAGCCCCGCTAGGGGCTCTAACTAATTCATCTGAGTGGAAATAAGGACTACCACAACAGTATTACATATTAATATATATGCTTAATTTTTTTAAAAAGAGTGGTGGTCAAATAGATTATGAATTAGGTTTATAAATGCTAGGAATATATGAAAAGCATGCATTTTGCTACCACTTTAAATATGGAAATAAAATTTTACGCCAAATGCGAGAAAGTTGGCAGGTATGCATATGTAAGGTATAATTATCAACCTTCTTACATAAGTTTTAGAAATTCTATATGATGTGGCAGTTAAAATAATTTTGAATTAAAATTTTCAAACCAAGAATAATATATTAAAACATAAAATTGGCTACCACGAGAAAATATCGTTCGCAAAAATCGTGGCACATATGTAATAGCTAATAAAATATACACACCATGTAAATGCATACCTGCCAACTTTTACGCATTTGGCGTAAAATTTCCTTTCCATACTTAAAGTGGTAGTAAATATATGCTACTTTTTCTTTTATAAACTTAATTTTTAAATGATTTTGATCACCACTATTCTTAAAAAAATTAAGCGCACATATTAATGTGTGTTTCTTTAAAGGTTGTCAACCAATACCAATAGTTAAAAAAGCAAATTGTCTTGGCCTTATAATCAATAGCAAACTCACCTGGAATGATCACATCAAAAGCACATTATTAATCCA